TTTTTTTTTGTAATGGGTGCATTGTCTCAACACTTATTAATTACATGTAACATTTTATTCTATTATTAAACAGAGTCGGATGAATCAACACAAGGATTGCTTGTTGGAAGTTTGTCACCTTTCTGGTGAGAGTCCTGCCCAACAGAAGTATAGAAATCCTGTGCTGAAAGAGCGGTTTGCTGTGGACATCAAGGCTGCTTTTGACATCGCTGTAGCTGACAATGTGATAGGCATCTATCCACCCTATGTGTGCAAGCCGTATGAGCTGAAGCTAAGGAGACAGAAAGAAAACTGCGCAAAGTGTAAAAAAGCTGTTTGCAACATAAAAATCACCACTTTCACTAGTTCATGTGACAGGTGCACTGGTGAAGTCGTTGTGACCTTGGATGATCACCGCACTACAGCTGGGAAGTTTTCCTTTATGGTCTGGAAAGGGGAAAATAGAGAAAGAATCGTCAAAGTTGATGAGATGGGCAATCCCATAGTGTTTTTCACAATCCTGGCCAATTTTTCGTGGGTGCTTAATATTTGTGGCATCACTTGTAATAGTGATCACCCGTTGTGCAAGGATGTCCCGGAGTTCCTGAGTCCCGAAGACATCTTCATCATGTTCAGCAAGCTTGATGGGATGCATGCATGTCTGGGAAATCCTGACTACCCTGAACTGGTGGCATCGAAGTGTGGCTCAGAAGGTCAAGTTCCAACAAAGATCACTAACAATGATGTCGTTGTGGACGGGACAGTTAAGTGCGGCACAAGAAATGTCTCCTTTTGGTGCAATCAAGTGGAACAAGATGTGACTACTGTAAAGTACACAAAGGTGATCTCTCATCTGCTACAAGCCAATTAATGATTATAGCTATTACTTTAATCAGAAATTTGCCACAATGAAATTATTTTGTTTTTCTCTGGTTGTGTGTATTTAGACTCCAGTATTTAATATCACCAGCCAAGAGGATGACGAGGTGATGGACTGTTCGGAGTCTGATGAGGAACCTGCACACCCACAATGGCCACAACTTTCTGCTAAGGTGAGCACCTGTGCTACAGGAAAAAAGTTAGGGTTTGTCCTCCGATGTTGTATTAGCACAGCTCGGTGCTTTTGAGTGGTTATTAAAGAGACAGGCTGGCTCATGGATTGGAAAGTGTGCCAAGCAGAGTATTTGAACTGCCACTTTAGCTCATTACATTTTAACCTACCGTTTGCTTGCTGCCTTTACAAATACTGAACCAGTTATGGTTTCTGTATTTTAATATACTGCTTACTGCTAGTACATGTATGTACATGTATACAGTGTACTGACTTCAACCTAACTTGATGCTTTATTTACCTGTATGTAGAATCAAGCAACTGACTTGCAGGAGATTGTGTCGCTTAAGCGACGAGTAAGAGAGTTGGAGAGCCAACTGCGTGACAAAGAACAAATTATTACGCAGCTGAAGTCGGATCAAGTGACTGCTCATTCTGGGCATCCCTTCAGCATTGGTAAGATTTCCAAGTTTCTAATTTTGTTGTGCTTGTATAACCAACAGTTGGTCATACATACGAATGAACATAAATAAAGTGAAATTGCACATTCTTAATTGTGGACACGGTTGTATGCCACAGCCCAAGGTAATCGATCACGTTTTCTATCATTTGTTATTTCTTCAATGCTACGTATTAAGAAAATATACGGAAATTAATTAAAGTTTTACATTTACAATCAGTTATTGTCTTATGTATTTGTTGTGCAGACATCACTCCTAAGAAAATAAGACTTATGAAGGAGTTGACCAGTATGGTTGAAGGTATAGCAGCACCACCGCCACCCCCACCATCACCACTGCCACGTACAGACATCACCGCCAAAGACATCACCGCCGCCACAACAAACAGCACCGCCGTCCACAAGGACATCACCGCCGCCACCACCACAGACGGTGCTGCCGCCACCAGCACCACGGACTGCTTCAGCAACCCCAGTGGTAGCTGCACAGCCACCACCAGTGTCTACCAGCCCAAGTTTTCCTGCCTTGTCCAATACGGTATTACCCTTTGTAAAGTCTTTTTTATGCTGATTGAAAATTAATTTGATTTTAAAAAGAATACATAAGGCTTTTCTATCAGCATCATAGACAGAAATTGTTGGAAATTGTCACCTTATACATTTACACACCCAACAACATATCACCAAATTAAATCTTGCCAAAGTCATAATTTCAATGTAAAGTGTAGCTAGTACATGTATAATACATTTTACAAAATATTCTGTGGTTTACATATCCACACAATGTACTACTAAATCACATTTATAAGATTTCATTGGATTGGACCCACATTGGAAATTTAAAAGCTACATGATGATATAGTGAGTAAAAAATAATTTAAAAAAATGAACACATAGCAATATGTTTTAACAATGTATGCATACTAATCATCATGTTCCCAAGTTGATGTTTTTGAGTTTTACCCACAGCTTTCACCACTCTACACTGGAGGGATTCCGGTGATAACCGAGAGGGCCAAGAGGCTAGCATTCAACAAGGGCAAGTGCAAGGAGAGTTTGCTGTACAGCCTATTGGTCGGCGTCTTTGGAGAAGAACGGCTTGCCCGAGGAAATGCCTGTGGGTCTCGGCAAGCTGTCAACCGCAAGGACACTGAAGAGTACCACCCGCTGGACCCAGAGAAACTTCACGAAATAAAAGGTACTTCATAATTTTTTTTTTAATTCCCCCACCCCCCCCAAAAAAATCTTGTCCAATAAAATAATAAACATTGTTTCTCATGTATGTAACTCATTTAAAAGCAATATCATCTTTAATTACATCTTTTTAATGGGAGCCCTTTTTAAAGGCCAGTTATAATACGTACATGTGAACCCCATTTTTTTAAAGCTGTACTAACACACACATGTACAACTAAAGTATTTAAAATAAAAGAGCTACTTCAAGTTTCATGCTAAGTGAAAGTTTTAAAATGAGGCATCACAAAAACAAGATACGAAAAGAAATCCGAAATGGCTTTTATGAAATGGTTCAATCTTTTATCGTTCATTTTATACAGCCTTGTTGAAGAAATATGGGTGATATTCCTGACTACCAATACGCGGTGCCTCACTTCATTTTAAATCGATCCCCATCTTGACATAATGAAGGCGGTATTTTTGATGCACACCCCTCACACCCCTGAAATCGAACACCCAAGAAATGTGATGAGGTGGTCCTATTTTGGCCCAAAATCTCCAAATGAAAATTCCCGACAAATGACTCATGTAGCCTGATAGCATCACATTTATTGTTACATGTATTGAAGTTTGTGTATCATGACATGGCTTTTCTTTTCTTCATTTTTCGTTTTGTTTTCAGAGTGTGTTCTACAACGGTTCAGACTACCAACAGGCCAGCCATGTTTGTCTCCTAACGAGTTCAACGAGAAGATCAATCAAAAGTGCGCTACTGTCAGACGGGCATTGAAGAAAAGAAATAAGTAGTGATTAAACTGTATGCTATGAAGCCCAGCAAGGGACAGGGTAGAATTATTTTTTGTAATTTGCTAATTCGTTCCCACGAATTACCAACTCGTTCCCGGATGCAAGAGTAAGCAATTCGTGCGAATGAAATAGCAATCCGTGCGAACGCAATAGCGATTCGTGCGAACGAGTTAGCAATTCGTGGGAACGAATTAGGAATTTGTGCGAATGAATTAGGAATTTGTGCGAACGAATTATCAAATTCCAAAAAAAAAATCCACCCTGTCCATTCTCGGGCTTCATAGTATGGCGTCATAGTAAACATCTATAAATTAAACAACATGTTTGAGTTTAACTTCTCAAATTCAAGAAGTTTGTTAATTCCCTGTAGCATTTGATTCTGTGTTCTAATAGTTTTTAGTTCTATATTTGCATTATTCCATTACTCCATTTTATGTTTCTTGTATTTTCCACTAACTTATTTTTTGCATCACAAATAACATTATGTCTTATTTTCTCATTTTAATAATTTTGATTCAGAAAAATGCAAAAGTATAATTTGTGTCATATCGGTACATGGGATAAATTTCGATGACTGGGTTGAGTTAAGACATTTTTGCACTGATAAACCAGCAGACTTATATTGATTTTTTTTATATTGATCGATTTTTTTTTTTGATTTTTTTTTTTTAAATGCCGTCAAATTTCCATTAGAAATCCAAAGAAAACATTACCATTTGTTGTTTTTATTTTGTAGAATTTTCCTCTCATACATAGAAGTTATATTTCTGGAATATATATAACAAACTTTAGTTTTTACTTTTAGGAAAGGTTATTGTTGTTTTTGTTATTATAGTTAGTAAAGTAACACTTCAAAAGCAGTTATTAAAGCTTTATGTTCAGTTCATACATGTTATTAAGTGTCACAAATATGTACTGCCCATTAACTGCAACCTAATTGTCCGCAAGCTTACTGCAACTTTCAGCAAGCTTGTCTGCAAGCTCGCTGCAATCTAGTCTGCACGCTTGCTGCAATCTAGTCTGCAAGCTTGTCATTGCTGCATTAGCCTGCAAGCTTGTCATTACTGCATTCTAGCCTGCAAGCTTGCCACAATCTAGTCTGCAAGCTTGCAGTGCCTCATTTGCATTTTTGGAACCCTGCAAGGTTGCTGCAATCTAGTCTGCAAGCTTGCCGCAATCTCGTCCGCAAGCTTGCTGCAGTCTAGTCTGCAAGCTTGCCGCAATCTCGTCCGCAAGCTTGCTGCAGTCTAGTCTGCAAGCTTGCAGTTGTCTAGTCTGCAAGCTTGCAGTGCCTCATTTGCATTTTTGGAACCTCGCAAGCTTGCCTGCAAGCTTGCCGGCAAGCTTGCAGGCAAGCTTCATGAAATTTCTGTAAGGGAAAAATGACTTTGAGTGATTACAGCAAGTGTGCCAGTGGCACAACATGTGTTGTTGATGGGGCCTTATCAGCACTTGAGAAGGCATTGTGTAAAGCGCTCTGGAGAGTTGAGATTCTTGGAAAGCGTTTGCGTACCGTTGTAGTGCTGCATGTTCACTGCCAAGATTAAGACAGCCCTTGACACACTGATGAACCGAAGACATGAAGCAGGAATAGATGACAGCAATGCGTACCTGTTCAGTAATCAGCGAGGACTGGGACACATAAGGGGAACTGACACACTTCGAGAACATGCTTCAAAGTGCAAAGCTAAGAATCCTGAGTTCCTTCGTGCAACGAGACTTCGCAAACACATTGCTACAGTATCACAAGTAATGAATCTTCAGGAAAACGAGCTCGACCTGCTGGCGAGCTTCTTAGGTCATGATGTCAGAACCCATCGTGAGTTCTACCGCATGCCAGAGTCAACACTTCAAGTTGCCAAACTGTCAAAGGTCCTTCTCAAGATGGACAAAGGTGATGTGCAGGGACTAGCTGGAAAAAGACTGAAGGATGTTGAACTGGACCCTAGTGAAGGTATGATTTTTATATCACTACATGTACTAAAAAATTACAAGAGTTGATTCCATCCACTAGCAGGTATGACATTCTTCCAACTTAAGTTATATGTCAAATTTTTGCTGAGAGAAAACAGTTCTGATGGTGGAAACAAAATAAAAATTATAAATGTGTGTAAAATTAAAAAACACAAATTTATTTTTATTGTAATAATTTTTTGTTAGTACATGTGTATTTGTATTCAAATCAGAAAAAATTAAAATAAATAAAAAAGAGGGCCCACACCATGGAAAGTCATACCAATTAGTTAGTACTTTGAACACCATAACATTTTTCAATTTTTCTATTAACAATGCTGTTTTATTACTAATTGAAATGTTGGCAGCTTTCAGTGTTTAGTTATTACTTTGAACACCATAACATTTTCAATTTGTTTTATACCATGCCTGCTTTAACTGAACACAAACCAAGCTGGATTGCACCTCAAACTTACCTCTAAAAATGTGTGTGTATAGATTTTAATGTTTGAATTACAATGTATGTTTAAATGATTAAATTACAAAATTGGTCAGCAAAAAAATGAATGAAATATAAAGGAAACACAATAAAGGAAATTGTATGGAATGTGAAGGTTATCAAGACCGAGGTACAATATATACATGTTATTATACATACATATTTAAGGTTTTTTGTTTATGTGTTTGTTTTTCTTAGAATACGATACAGATGCGATGTCGGAATCGTCAGGTGATGAGAGAGATGATGAGCCTGAGGAACCCATGAGTCTGAATGAGGAAGCAAAAGGTTCGTACATTGGAATTTAGAATAAATCGGAAAGAGTTTCTCACTAGTTGGAGCCGCCATAATGTATGACACTTTTACAGCCGCTTTGCAAAACCTGTATTTAACAAGCTGTCAAGTATGGGACACTAAATATTGAAGACGGCATAATGTAGTCAAGTAATGTAGTATTTGACCACACCAAAGTCATTGGTACAACCAACAAGTACCTGAGACATGGTTTGTCAGTACAGCAAATGTCTTATGCAAACATCTTGATGGGTGAGGGTAGAGAAAGAAAAAACTTTTAAAAACTTTTTTCAACTTCATTACAGATGCAGATGGGACAAAGCTTGTTGTACAGCAGCAAACAAAGAGGCTATGGACTTGTGCTGAAAAAAAGCAGTTTTGAAACATCTGGGCATGTTCCTGAGGATGCGGAAGGTACCCGGGAAGGTACCCGGGAAGGGACCCATCACTGCATTGATGAAAGCCGAACCCCAGCTGTTCAAGAATCGTACTTGGAGAAACGTAAAAGACTTTGTGAGGAACCAGGTCCGAAAACAAGATCCAATGAGCTTTCTGCAGATCTGGTAAAATAAGAAAAATACAAAGATTTAAAGACAGAAGGCCCTTTGTTCTAAAATTGCACAGATTTGTCAACAAGAGATTACACATTTTCTTTGCATGTAATTTTTTTTAAGCAAACAAAAGTTGTAAAAGATTTATTTATTTGTTTATTTTAACAAAAGTAGTGATCATATAGAAGTTGAAAGGAAGTTAACATCAATTTCTGACGTCTTCTTCAGACCTGGTTCCTCACATCAATTTCTGACATCTACAGAAAAAGTACAAAAGAAGAATGTTTTGACATGTAAAGCTTACATGTTCGTTAGCATTAACACGCGTACTAGTCTTTCCAATGCCATTCTGCACAATTTTGCCGCACATGCCAATCATACGCACACGCATGTCCGACTTGATAGCGCAATCATGGCTGTGATTTGTCAAATGGGTGAACGCGCAAAGTTTGATTGATAGGCCGGATCTGTCCATTATAGCGACTTGCTTGCCATTAAGTAGAAACCTGAAATTTAATTTGTTGTTGAAACTAAAATTTAATTTCCATATGTTGTTTTCTTTTTTAAACAAAAGTAATGGTTTATATATACATGTAGAAGTTGAAAGGAAGTTAACATCAATTTCTGACATCTACAACAACAAAAAGTACGAAAGAAGAATGTTTGACATGTTTGACACTGCGTACACAAATTTAATTTGTCGGTGATACTTAAGTTTAAAGTTTCATTTTATTTATTTATTTTAACAAAAGTAGTGATCATAAAGAAGTTGAAAGGAAGTTAACTTCAATTTCTGACATCTACAGAAAAAAAAAGTACGAACGAAGAATGTTTGACACGTAAAGCTTAGATTTTTCTTTTATTTGTTTATTCAAACAAAATGAGTAATCTTTTAGAAATTCATAGTCAATTCTTAAGAGATGACATACATTCAGGAAGAGTGTAGATTGGTCCCAATCGTCACAGTACAATTTTGTAACTGGTGGGGGGGGGGGGGGGGCGCACAGCTTGCCAAAGCACATATCTAGTAGTTCTTGTCTTGGACATTTTGCCACATAATAACTTATCACAGAAAACTACTTCTAATAAGTAAAGTATTTTTGACTGTTATTTTCTAGTGTTCACTCATTACATATAATATTTGCATTGTGTAATCAATAGAACACATGGTTTATAAGAAGTGTATATTTAAGACTCGTGCACTATACAATTATAGCAATTTGCTTGTCATTTAGTTAAAATCTGAAATTTAATTTCTCGTTGAAATTAAAATTTTAATTTCCATTTCATTTATTTACTTTAACAATATCAGTGATCATATACATGTAGAAATTGAAGGGAAGTTTTTTCAATTTCTGAGGCCTACAGAGTTTCCAGTTTTATAATAAAGCTCAATTGTTCCTTTAAAGGGAAAATACAACATTTGCAAACATCAAAAAATAAAACTACCAAATCATTTTGAAATACCTTGCTGGACTGTTAGTGAATGACAGTGTAAAGCATCCTGTAAAATCATGGCACCTGGTATACTGTCATTTTCAAGAAAAGTGGTATTTTTGTATCAATTTCTAACGCTGATCGGCCGATCAGCGTTGGAAAACTGGCTTTTTTTCAAATACTGGCCCCAATTGACCATCGCACTTGTTTGCAATCGATTACACACCTATGAACGGGTACAAGCCAGCTAGACTGATTCCCTGACCTTACAATTCCCCAATGTATGTAAACTGCTCTGTTTCTTCTTAAATGGAGTCAGGGAACCAGACTACAGGAAAATGATTGTTTTTCTTGGTTTTTATAGCATTTTTGAACCCAAAACCTCAAAAAAGTCAGTGTAACTATATTTGCTATATATTTCCAACCCCCAATTCCATCCATTTCTGAAAATTACAGCAAAAGCAAATGATGTATATTCCCTTTAAGTTGTTTATTCAAACAAGTTATATAATCTTATAGAGGTTGATAGGCAGTTCGCAAGAGATGAAATACATTCAGAAAGTGTAGATTGGTCTCAATTTTAACAGTTCATGTTTGCAACTGGTGGGGGGGGGGGGTCAAATAGTTTGAGAAAAAAACCCCACATACAGTAGGTCTTGTCTTGGTCATTTTGCAACCTTATGACTGAACACAGATAACCGTATCACTAATATTGTTGTCTTAACTTAAGTAAAGTATTTTCATCTATTATTTTTCTAGTGTACACTTATTGCATAGAATACATGTAATGATAATCGTTATGCACACACGATAGAACAACTCCCGGAACAGTAAAATAAATAGTTTTGGCAGAGGTGAACACAAATACAAACTGCAAATGTGGTATTTGAAATTGTTATGTCCTCTTACATACATTTTAAAACTGAAATGTTATCAAAACTTCACAAGAGATTAGAATGTACAAGACTTGTGTATTGCAAGTTTTTCAAAGCCCAGAGAGTGCTAATTGTGACCCCTAGAACAGAAGACTAGAGTTTGGAACTCTGTATTTTTGTCGTTGGTTTTTAATAAATATCTTGTTCCAAGTTGGCATCTATCTTTGATAATTAACATTGTTTGCAGAAATAAATGTTTCAGTTAATTTGTTGAGTTCAATCTATCTATGTGACTTTGTATATATTTTTTCTCTTTTCTTTTCCGTTTCTTTTATTGCTGTGAATGACCTTAGAAAACACCAACAAATGACATTTTGAAAATTTCAAATCTTAATTACAAATCTTATTTACATCTTGTATACCTTATACTAGATGTACTCCTGTAATGGACATGCAAGCGTGGGCCTATTAATCGATTATACCACCGTGGACGTCTTGTGTTCGTTATACTCCTGTCTGTTCCTTGCTCTATGCTGTAATGGACATGCAAGCGTGGACTTAATAATCGACTATACCACCGTGGACGTCTTGTGTTCGTTATACTCATGTAATGGACATGCAAGCGTGGACCTACTATTAATCGACTATATCACCGTGGACGTCTTGTGTTCGTTATACTCATGTAATGGACATGCAAGCGTGGACTTATTCAATTCAATTCAATTCGATAAGACATTTATTCCATACTCTTTTTGGAAAACGCATCGATAATTCAAGAAAACCTGTACACAGGAAAATAACTAAGTAACTATACATGTATTATATTAAATAATAAACAAAAAAAGTGAACGCTTGGAACTAATAATCAAATTAAAGAAAAGGATATATGTACAATGTACAAGAGAAAAGAAAGAGCATGGGGCTGTTAATAAGCCGAGGCTTGTAATAAACAGCCCATTCAGACAACAGCAGCAACAACATCAACAGCTACAAAACGAAACAAGGACGGGACAGACTACACAAAAAAAGACAGGAGAAGAGCTGAAGGCAAAATAATAAAAAGAAAGAATTTAATAACTGATGACGAATAAAAACGTAAATAAATAAGGAGAGGACTAAAGCTATGTTACATAATGGGAGAGGAGGACTCTTTTGTAAGAAGTCTTAAATCGACCCACAGACGACTTCGTTCTTACGTCAACAGGGATGGCATTCCATCAACGGGGACCGTAAAACCGAAGGGTGTTAATAATCGACTATACCACCGTGGACGTCTTGTGTTCGTTATACTCATGTAATGGACATGCAAGCGTGGACTTATTAATCGACTATACCACCGTGGACGTATTGTGTTCGTTGTACTCCTGCAATGGACATGCAAACGTGGACCAATCGACAATACCACCGTGGACGTCTTGTGTTCGTTATACTCCTGTAATGGACATGCAAGCGTGGACCTATTAACTGACTATACCAGCGTGGACGTCTTGTGTACGTCCACGGTTTGAATGTGAAAACTTCGTGAAGCCAGAAAGCTTCAGTAACCTGTTACCGCCCATTTTTAAGACGTCTGCGGTTAAAACTTTAATTTTCTGCTAACACAGCGTAAGTAGCCCTTAAAATACTGCAGTCCTCGTTTGTATGGTAAAACATGAAAGTCAACGTTTGCAGGTCATTACAAGTATGGGTGTGTGTGTGTGTGTAATGGGTGCATTGTCTCAACACTTATTAATTACATGTAACATTTTATTCTATTATTAAACAGAGTCGGATGAATCAACACAAGGATTGCTTGTTGGAAGTTTGTCGCCTTTCTGGTGAGAGTCCTGCCCAACAGAAGTATAGAAATCCTGTGCTGAAAGAGCGGTTTGCTGTGGACATCAAGGCTGCTTTTGACATCGCTGTAGCTTACAATGTGATGGGCATCTATCCTCCCTATGTGTGCAAGCCGTATGAGCTGAAGCTCGGAAAGAAAACTGAGACAGAAAGAAAACTGCGCAAAGTGTAAAAAAGCTGTTTGCAACATAAAAATCACCACTTTCACTAGTTCATGTGACAGGTGCACTGGTGAAGTCGTTGTGACCTTAGATGATCACCGCACTACGGCTGGAAAGTTTTCCTTCATGGTCTGGAAAGGGAAAAATAGAGTAAGAATCGTCAAAGTTGATGAGATGGGCAATCCCATAGTGTTTTTCACAATCCTGGCCAATTTTTGTGGGTGCTTAATATTTGTGGCATCACTTGTAATAGTGATCACCCATTGTGCAAGGATGTCCCTGAGTTCCTGAGTCCCGAAGACACCTTCATCATGTTCAGCAAGCTTGATGGGATGCATGCATGTCTGGGAAATCCTGACTTTCCTGAACTGGTGGCATCGAAGTGTGGCTCAGAAGGTCAAGTTCCAACAAAGATCACTAACAATGATGTCGTTGTGGACGGGACAGTTAAGTGCGGCACAAGAAATGTCTCCTTTTGGTGCAATCAAGTGGAACAAGATGTGACTACTGTAAAGTACACAA